AGAGAGAAGGCACGCTGAACCTCAGGAACTGTGAAGGTACAGAGAACTGTGCGCACAAAAAGGCTTAATCCCGGCGTGCAGAAAGGAAGGGCCAGGGCCAAGTTCGCTACTGGCTTACTCCCGGCGCGCGGAGAGGGCGGACAGCTAATGTGCTGCTGGCTTTCTTGTTCTGAAGGAAAACAGAATCACCCTATTGCTCTGATAGACGGCCCCAGTCAGGGAGAAGCCAGACTGTCAGGCAGCGGGCAGAGATCTCTCAGAGGTGTGTGAAGCCAGAGGCCATTACTGCAGTACTTGGGGAGGAGCCACTTGGGGAGGAGCCAACGGGAAAACAAAGCTTGTCTGCATCACCCCAGACTCCGCCCCATCCAAGCTGAGCACAGAAGCTCTCCCAGAGGCTGGCTTTCTCTAAGGAGGGACTGGCCGGAATCTAAAGCTTGTCTGTGCCTTCACCAAAGATGTGCACGAGCCTGCAACCAATCTGGTGAGACTCACCGTGAATAGGACTTTTCTAAGGTGAGACTGACAGGGAACCAAAGATTGCCTGCGCCACCCCGAGACTTTGCCCCATCCAAGCGGAGTACAGAAGCCCTCCTAGCTGAGACACTGCTGATCCTAACAGCCAATTAGCTTGGAAATCAACGCTTCCCAGTGATAAGCAAGGCTTAACAACAAGGCTGCACACATAGCCCACAAAGGGCTACACCAAGACTGACCAAGGTAACTGGAAAGGCTGTGCTACTGGGCTCTACCAGAACACCTAACACACAAAACTATTCCATCAAATCAGGAAAACAACTAAAATGCAGACAGGTCCAGAGGAGGATCCAAGATGGCTGCTTGGGTAGACATCTAACCGCAGCTGCACACAACAATTTCAATGGAATACAACTAAAATGTAGAGTGGACATTGCCCAGAGCTACAGGTAGTCGACTGACTAAAAATTCTACAACAAGAAGGAAAGAGAAAACCAGAAGGAAAATCAGAGGAGCTGAAAAAAGCCTAAGGTACGGAGACATGCTGTGCGCCCGCATGCGCGCACGCTTGGAGAGGTCGCAGCCGGAGAGGAGGAGAAGGCTGGGGGCCTGCCTGGCGTTCCCTAGCAGGAAGGAAATAAAACCCCCGGCCTGGGCTGAACCCCCGAACCAGCAGCGCTGAACCCCAGTTATGGGCCAGACCCTCGGACCCAGGCTCGGGCAGGGTGAGACAGGGCTGTGAGGTGGAATCCCAGGGGAGCGGCGAAAAGCAGGGCCCCCGGAGTCGCGCGCACATTGCGACTCTGATGCTGGATTACCCTAGCGGGAAGAAACAAAGCCTCTGGCGGTGCTGAGCCCCAGTCCAGACTGCTCTGAACCCCAGTTCTAGGCCAATCCCTGGGGACCAGGCTTAAGCAGAGGGAGACGGGGCTGTGAGGCGAAAGGCCGAGCCCCTGGAGTCGCACACATTGTTTGCAAGGGAAGGAATGTTGACTCTGATGCGGGATTGCCCTGGAGGGAAGGAAACAGGAGCCCCGGCCCTGTTGGGCCCCAGTTTCGACTGCTCTGAACCCCAGTCCTAGGCCAGACCCTGGGGACCCAGCCTCAGGCAGGGGGAGACGGGGCTGTGAGGCGGAATCCCAGGGGAGCGGTGAAAAGCGGAGCCCCCAGAGTCGCGCACACTGCGTGCAGAGGACAGTCTGTTGACTCTGATCCTAGACTCCCCTAGCGGGAAGGAGAAAAAAAAGCTCCAGACTGGAGGAATGCGACAGGGAGCAGGAGCCCCTGCCAGACACCGGCCAGCCGGGCACCAGCAAGGAGCCAGGCGACGGGGTCCCCGGGGGTTGGGGGGTGCCCCTGAGCCTTTGACCGCTGAGCGCGGGCAACGGAGCCAAGGCCAGGGGCTGCTTCCTGGGCAGCGCCGACCCTGGCAACAGGCTGAAGCAGCGCAGGAGCCCGCGGAGAACAAAGGGGTGCCACAGGCCAACCTGCTGAGCTCCCAGGACAAGGAGGAAGAAACCAAAGAAGTTCTCAATGTGAAGAAATCAAGTGAGAGAAAAAGATAGTAAAATTACTTAAGAATACAAAGAAGATCTTGAAAAATCAAAGACTAAGTCAGAACTCAACTCACCAGCCAACATTGCAACATAAATGCATTTAAAAAAAAAAAAAAAAAAGGACAGAATGTTGGAACGGCAATGGCCAGGCCTAGAGAGGCCAGGCACAAGGCAGTGGCAGCTGGGCCCGGAGCAGCAATGGCCAGGCCCCAGAGCAGCAGCAGCCAGAACCAGAGCATCAACAGCCAGCACTGGAGCAGCCAGACCTGGGGCAGTGGCAGCCAGGCCTGAGGCGGAGGCGACCAAGCCCAGGGTGGCCAGTCCAGTAACACCCAGACCTGGAGTGGCCAGGCCCAGAGAAACTGGGCCCAGAGCAGCCGGGTCAGGAGCACCCAGGCCCAGAACAGCAGTAGCCAAGCCCGGAGCATCCAGGCCGGGAGCAGCCAGGCTCGGAACGGCTGGGCCCGGGGCAGCCAGGCCCAGAGCAGCCGGGTCGGGTGCGGCCAGGCCTGAAGCAGTGGCTGCCAGGCTGGGAGCGGCCAGGCCCGGAGCAGCCGGGTCTGGTACGGCCAGGCCCGGAGCAGCGGCTGCCAGGCTGGGAGCGGCCAGGCCCGGAGCAGCGGCTGCCAGGCTGGGAGCGGCCAGGCCCGGAGCAGCGGCTGCCAGGCTGGGAGCGGCCAGGCCCGGGAGCAGGGCTGCCAGGCTGGGAGCGGCCAGGCCCAGAGCAGCCAGGTTGGATGCAGCTAGGCCCGAAGCAGCGGCTGCCAGGCTGGGAGCGGCCAGGCCCAGACCGGCCAGGCCCGGAACAGCCGGGCCCAGAGCAGCCGGGTTGGGTGCAGCCAGGCCCAGAGCAGTAGCAGCCAAGTCCAGAGCAACTAGGTCAGGAGCGGCAGTGACCAGACCTGGAGCAGCTGGTTGTGGAACGAACCAGAGCAACAGAGGCCAGACCAGAAGCAGCCAGACCCGGAACAGCTCGCTCTTCGCCTGCCCCTGCCCCAAGGCTGCCTCTCAGACATGGCTGGAAACTTTTGTGGGAACTTGAGGGTCTGCTGAATCAAGTGATGAAGGCTTAGATCTGGATGTGTTGAGTTAGTATAGCGCTGAGGTGTTGATCTGTGAGTGCCTTGGGTGGGGCCTGGATGAGGCTGGTTGACCTATTTGGAAATGTCTTTTGTGTGAAGTGTATCATTGGGCATGTGGAGGTATTATTGATATGAGAAAATGCTAAGTAACTGATTTACTATCTGAAAAGGGATTTACTATTGGGGAAAGGGAGGGAGGAAGAGACTGAACATAAACTGTGCACCTATGGATGAGGACAATGGGGGATGGGGAGGGGGTGGAGGGTGGAGTGGGAACCTGGTGGAGGGGGGAAGAAATGAGGAACCTTTGTAATAATATGAACAAGAAAGATTGATTTTAAAATAAAATAAAATAAAAATAAAATGCAGACAAGGCACAGGACACAAAGGAAGGAGATGGAGGAAAAGAAAAGAATGGACATTGAGTTCAAAACTACAGTTATAAGGCTTTTCAAGAATATCCTTAAAAAGGCCGATAAATTAAATTAGACCTATGAGGATATGAAAAGGGGTCAACTAGAAATAAAAAGGGATCAACTAGAAATAAAGAAAACATTGTCTGAAATAAAAAATATTACACAGAGTCCTAAAAACAGACTGGAAGATCACAAAAATCAAGACAAAGATTTAGAACACAAAGAGCCAGAGGACACGCCTTTGCAGAAGCAAGAAGATAAGAGAGCCAGAACTGGTTTGGCTCAGTGGATAGAGCCTCAGCTTGGTGACTGAAGGGTCCCGGGTTCGATTCCGGTCAAGGGCATGTACCTTGGTTGTGGGCGTATCCCCAGTAGGGGGCGTGCAAGAGGCAGCTGATCGAAGACTCTTCCCTCATCGATGTTTCTAACTCTCTATCTCTCTCCCTTCCTCTCTGTACAAAATCAATAAAATATATTTTTTTAAAAAAAGAGAGAAAGAAAGAAAAGAAAAGAAAAAGAAATGGAGGTGGTGATGGTGATGGTGGAGGAGGTAAAGGTGGAGGAGGTGGTGGAGGTAGAGTTGAGGCCGGTGCTGGTGTTATCTAGGCAGAGTGCTCGTGAGTTTTAGTCATTTGAGCTAGACAGAGGGTTGGACTGCTGTCCAGGGCACATGCATCAACCCCCTATAGTGCTCTCACTGTTTAACCCGCCTCTTTCCAAATGCCATTTGCTCTTGAATTCTTCACTGTGAATAATTATGCCAACGAATTCTTAAGTGATAGCTCTCTCCTGATCATCCCCCGCTATCTCCTAACTAACACATTTTGAGATGGGGGTAAAAAAGTTTAAAGAGGCTTAACTCTTGAAAGATACTTGTCCGTGTACAGTGTGCTGTGGGCGAGGTTGGGCAGGTTTGGGGACCAAAGGGTGCCAAAAGGCTCCTAGGTAGAAAGAATTCGGAAACAAACTTGTTCTTTCTCTCTTCCTCTCCTTCTTCAACAACTGCCAGCGATGGTAAATAAACGACAGACGATTTATTCCACATTACCCAAACTCAGGCAACGCAGGAACAAAGAAGAGGAGTGCAAAGCTGGTCCAAAATCCTTGCTTGCTAATGATTTGCAGTGAGGAGGGCTGAACTACATAAGGGTTGTCGAAAGAATGAGGAGGGTTGCCTAAACCGGTTTGGACCAGTGAATAGAGTGTCGGCCTTCGGACTGAAAGGTCCCAGGTTCGATCCCAGTCAAGGGCATGTACCTTGGTTGTGGGCACATCCCCAGTAGGGGGTGTGCAAGAGGCAGCTGATCGATGATTCTCTCTCATCAATGTTTCTAACTCTCTATCCCTCTCTCTTCCTCTCTGTAAAAAAATCAATAAAATATATATATTTTTTAAAAAAGAATGGGGAGGGTGACTCAGATGAAAGGGGACAGAACCAGGTGCCAGAAAAGCTTACAGAGAGCCCTTGCCTTGATCAGATCCCGGGCTTCTTCCCAGTTGACAGAGATGTTTAGGACTCTGTAACCAGAGAAGATGACCTTGACCTGCTTCTGCTGCTGCTGAAGGAGATGATGCTAGAGGTAGTGCTGACAATCAGACTCCAGAACTTTTTATTGTTGAAGTAGCAGAGGAACGCTGGGGAAAGACCAGGGGATGGGGGAGAGGAGAGTCAGAGAGTGGGAAGAAAGTGGCCAGCAAGGTGAGCCCACAAGGAAGTCCCTAAGAGCCTACCCCTGTGACGGCCAGCCACTCCTCCACACTTTCTCTGCCCTGACCCACACCCACAGCCCCTCCTTCCCACAGCTCCCCCCGCCCCACACACACACACACTCACCGCAGATGAGATAGAGCATAAACACCACCCAACCGATGAAATAGCTCCACCCGAGGTAGACTGAGAAATTCTGCTTCAACTCGTAGAGCCAGATATTAATTGAAAAACAGTGGAGGCTGGTGAAAAGGCAGGCAACTAGGAGACAGGAAACAGAAAGGTCAATGCCAGCAGCGTGCCCTACAGGGGCTCCTCCTCATCCGCTGTGCTGACAGCCGCAAAGCACGACTCCCATTGGTGCGCACGGAGTACAAGGAGCCTCTGTCAGCCCCTCACTTCCGCCTCTCTAGCGACCAGGAAATGATGGAAATCAGTTTTCAGTCAACAACCGTCAGTTCTACCGTGTTTCCCCGAAAATAAGACATCCTCTGAAAATAAGACCTACTTACAGGTTTCCTTCTGAGTGAAATATAAGGCATCCCCCCGAAAATAAGCACACCCCCCCCCCCAGGCTAAACGTGAGAGATTTGGTCCACTGATTCTGAAAGAAATGGAGTCACAAGAAATTCACCAGGAAATTCAGGAATTGGATTGTTAGGATGATGTTCCAGAAGATGATGACATGATTGTCATTGAATAAATGAGTAAATTCTTGATACTGTAGGATTCACAGTTTGGTTTGTGTTGACAACTACCGTACTACCGTACCATATACAGGTAATAAATGTCCTTTATTTTCATTTAACAATAAATGTGTACCGTATTCTTCTTCATGGAAAAATAAGACATCCCCTGAAAATAAGACCTAGCGCATCTTTGGGAGCAAAAATTAATATAAGACACTGTCTTATTTTTGGGGAGACAGGGTAGCTGTTCTGTTTTTCCGCCCACAAAGCCCCTGCCCAACCACTAGAGGAAGAAAGAGGAGAAGTGCCTGGGAAGACGGGGTTAGGAGGCACTGAGGCTCTTTCCCAGGGTGGAGGGGCACCTTCACAGAAGCTAAGGATACACCCAATGCAGCCAAATAAGGGCACTCTGCGAAGGCTGGGGACGTATGGCAGGTACAGCCAGACGGTTTGGAGGAAGCCCACCAACAGGGACAGGTTGAAGGTGACCTTGGACACTCCAAAGAACGGGTGATCCGTCCACAGCTCCAAAAAGTCTGGGGAAAAGGAGAAAACAGCATAAACTAAGGATAGGACAAAATGTAATCCAAAGAGCAAATGTGAGAAAATGTTCAGGCCCCCTTAATAACCAAAGGAATGCCTATTTGAGATAACAATGAAATATCACTTCTTAAACCGGCAACCGTTTTTAAAAAATATATATTTTATTGGTTTTTACAGAGAGGAAGGGAGAGGGAGACAGAGTTAGAAACATCGATGAGAGAGAAACATCGATCGGCTGCCTCCTGCACACGTCCTACTGGGGATGTGCCCATAACCTAGGTACATGCCCTTGACCGGAATCGAACCTGGAACCCTTCAGCCCGAAGCTCTATCCACTGAGCCAGACCGGTTAGGGCCAGGCAACAGTCTTTGATGGAAATTGTTTGATAATCCTAACCATAAAAAATCAAATACCTCAATAGAAAAAAATAGGCAGGAAACTTGAACTGCAATTCTCAAAGAAGAAAGTCCAATAAACATATGAAGCTCAACACAAAGAAATGCAAATTAATTGTGATTGTTGCTGATAAGCCTCACCCAAGGCTATTTTTTTCCACCGATTTTTTTATTTTATTTTATTTTATTATTTTTTTAAGAGTGAGTGAAAGCCGAAACCGGTTTGGCTCAGTGGTAGAGCATTGGTCTGCGGACTGAGGGGTCCCAGGTTCGATTCCGGTCGGGGGCATGTACCTTGGTTGAAGGCACATCCCCAGTTGGGGGTACGCAGGAGACAGCTGGTTGATGTTTCTCTCTCATTGATGTTTCTAGCTCTCTATCTCTCTCCCTTCCTCTCTGTAAAAAATCAATAAAATAAAAATTTTAAAAAATATTAAAAAAAAAAAAAAAAGAGTGAGTGAAAGGGAGGGAGAGAGAGAAACATAGACTCATCAATTGATTGCCTCTTGCACTCACCCCAACCTGGGGCAGGAATCAAACCTGTAACCATTCTGTGAGCAGGCTGTTGCTCTAACCATGGAACACACCGGCCAGGGCAAAATGTGATTTTTAAAAATCTATTAAATTAGGAGAGATCAAAACAAAAGTGATGATATCTAGTGTAGGAAAGGATTTAGAAGAAAGAAGTACTCTCACATACCATTAGTAGCAGCATTGCTAGTAAGTGATGTGGCATAAAATGAAAAACAACAACAAAAACCCTAAATTGCTAAGCCCTTTGGCCCGGAATGTTTCTTTTCGGAATTTCCATTAAGGAAATCATCCAAGATAGCACTATAAAGTATATACTTATATGTACAAGAGATTTGTTAAATGAACTAAAGTGTTCATACATTGGATTATTATATGTTCATTAAACATGATGATATGGCCCTAGCCGGTTTGGCTCAGTGCAAAGTGTCAGCTGCAGCCTGAAGGGCTCTGGGTTGGATTCCTGTTGCAGGCTCTATCTCACGACCTTGGCTGGGGAGTGTGCAAACATAAGCAATCAATGTGTCTGCTTGATGTTTCTGTCTCTCCCTCTCTCCCTTCCATTCTCTCTAAAAATCAATGGGGAAAATCCTCCGGTGATGATTAACAAACAAAATGATGACAAGACAGCTGATTGTCTCTGAATAGTGTTTCTAGGAAGAAAAGAGAAACAGGAGGCTCACTTCGCTATATAATCCTCCGAATGTTTTGAATTTTCACTCTGTTTACATGCTACCTAATCGGACAAATTGTAAACATCGGTGATGCTATAGAATAAGTATTTAAAGGTACAGTATAAGTAAATGCTCACAACTGAAAAGTGGAGTTTGCAACACAGGGCCTGTAGAATGATTGCATTTTTTAAAAATGATATACCATTTATTAAAATAAAAATAATACATGTGAAACCTATATCATTTTATTAACTAATGTTGACCCCAATAAATGCAATAAAAATAAAATAAAATAAAAACATATCTATTTAACTGTATTTATTTTATGTATATATACACACAAAAGACTGGAATTACATCCATTGTAATGTCATTGTGATTATATCTGTGTGGGGAATTTTAGGTGATTCTTATTTTATTTTTTAAACTTTCTGTATTTCCCCCAATAACTATGCAATGTTTCTTTTTAAATTAAGTTACACATTTAAATTTAATTATGTATATTAAAAGAATAGTTTATTGATTTTTAGAGAGAGAGGAAGGGAGAAAGACAGAAACATTTATGTGAGCATAACATTAATCAACTGCCTCCTGTAGCACCCCAGGATGATCTAGCCTAAAACCCAGGCATATGTCCTTGACCAGGAATCAAATCAACAATGACCTGGTACACAGGACAACACCCAATCAATTGAGCCACACCAGCCAGAGCTAAATACATATATATATATATATTTAAGTTAATAGTCATTGCTGGCAAAGATACAAGGAAACAAGACTTATACTATTTGACCCAGTAAACCCATTTTGGGAAATCAATACCAAAGAATGTTTTAGTTATTATAAATGTATAATAAATAATATTAAACACAGGAAAAAAAGCTTTATTTTGTTCCTTCCATTTTCATCAAATATAAAGCTAGAGGAGATCCAAGATGGCGGTGTAGGTGGGCATCTAAACTGCTGCCGGGCACAACAATTATTGTACAAAACTACAACTGAAAGACAAAACATCTATCACCCATAACCACGGGAAAGCTGGCTGAGAGGAAGCTCTACAACTAGACTGAGAGAGAGAAGAGCATTCAGGGCACAAGCACTGAAAAACTGAGGTATGGCGGGCGCACAATATGGGCAGGCAGTGGATCTCGGCTGGAGGCGGGCGTTGCTTTCTTCAACCTGAAGAGAGACAAGCTCCAAAGCTCTCTGAGGTCCAGTTTCTGGGGAGAAGCTAGACTGTCTGCCATCGGGTCAGAAAGTGAGGGTGGCTTGCTTGCAGAGCTGCGCGCAAAAATAATTGTTTGCTGTGTGGGGGCACAAGGCACAGGGATGTGGTCAGAGAGGCAGCCATCACTGTTGGCCACGCCCCAGCCTAGCATGCTCTAAGACCCCGCCCTGAGACTTCATCCCGCACAATCTACAAACACACGCAAGCTCCAAGCAGCAGCTTTTGCATATGAATGGCCTTCTCTAGTGCAGTATTAGCTAGCAAACTTGCAACCTGGTGCAGACAGCTCCAAAGCCTCCAAACTCCAAGCAGGGAGGAGAGGACTGTGGTTCTTGCTGTAGCTCCTGCAGGGTGGCCTCAGACAATAGCTGAACTGCACCCCATTGGAGATCCAGAAGCCAGTATACCTGGTGGCCAGTGTAAGACATCAGATTTCAACTTCTCACATCCATAAGTGACACATTAGGGAGACAGACTCAGTGAGCACCAAAGCCCCACTGAAACAAGGCCTGCATCATAAGCATGTCCTCACAGCCAATTGGCCTGGAGGTCAATTCCTCCCAGTGTACCAACAGCAATCAAGGATTAATTACACCAAGACTTTGCACTCAGCCCACAAAAGGGTGTACCAAGAGCGACCACCTCAGGAGATTGGGAAAGCTGAGCTACTGGCCCCTATAGGTCACCAACCACACAAAGCCACTTCATCAACACAGGGAGGCAGCCAAATGAGGAGATACAGAAGCATGTCACGAATGGGAGATGGAGGAAAGTAAACTACTAGACGACACAGCGTTCAGAACCACATTTATAAGGTTACTCAAGAATCTTCTAAAAACCTTTGAGAAGCTTGATGAGACCTCCAAGAAGTTTATTAAGACCTTCAAGGACCTTAATGAGAATGCCAAAAAAAATGGAAAAGGACCAGTCAGAAATTAAGCATACACTGGCTGAAATAAAGAATATACAGAAACTCAACTGTAGATCAACGTATCCCGAGTCAAACCAAAGATCTGGAATATGAGGAAGCAAAAAACACCCAACCAGAGAAGAAGAAAGAAAAAAGAATCCTAAAGTGTGAGGATAGTGTAAGGAGCCTCTGGGACAGCTTTAAGCATACCAATATCCAGATTTTGGGGGTGCCAGAAGAAGAGAGCCAGAAGAAGAGATCGAGCAGGATACTGAAGGGGCTATTGGAAGAAATAATGACAGAAAAATGTCCCTACTTGATGAAAGAAATAGACTTACAAGTTCAGGAAATGCACAGAACCCCAAACAAGAGGAATCCAAAGAGGACCACACCAAGACACATCATACTTAAAATGCTAAGAGACAAAGAGAGAATCTTGAAAGCAGCAAGAGAAAAACAGCTAGTTACCTACAAGGGAATATCCATACAACTATCTGTTGATTTCTCAACAGAAACTATGCAGGTCAGAAGGGAGTGGCAAGAAATATTTAAAGTGATGAATAGCAAGAACCTACAACCAAGATTACGCTACCCAGCAAAGCTATCATTCAGAATTGAAGGTCAGATAAAGAGCTTCACAGACAAGAAAAAGTTAAAGGAGTTCATCACCACCAAACCAGGATTACATGAAATGCTGAAGGGTATTCTTTAAGAAGAGGAAGAAGAAGAAAAAGGTAAAGGTAAAAATTATGAACAACAAAAGGACATTAGATACATACCTACCAACAATCTAAAAATCAAGTGAATAAAAAATCTAAAGAACAAAATGGACTGGTGAATATAATAGAATCAGGGTCATAGAAAGGGAGTGGACTGACAAGACTCAGGGGGAAGGGAGTCTGAGGGGTGCAGGAAGAGATTGGACAAAAATCTTACACCTATGGATGAAGACAGTGGCGGGGAGTAAGGGCATGGGGTGGAGTGGGGAATCAGGTGGAGGAGAGCTATTGGGGGGGAAATAATCCAAACAATAAAGATTATTAAAAAAAATTTTTTTATAAAGTTAGAAATGCATTTGCTAAGAAAATAAAATAGTCAAGTAAGAGGTGATAAATTTATTAAGTTGAATACTATAGGTTACTTATAATAAGAAAATGTTTATTATATTGCATAAATATAAATTTTAAAATAATATAAATTAAATAATAAAAATAAAATATACAAAATTATTTAGAAGAATAAATACATCTATGTAAGAGTCATTTAAAACATGTCCAATTTTTTTAAAGCCTAGAAAAAACTGAGTGTTCAACACACTGCTGCTAGTGGCTGCCTTTGAGCAGCACTAGAGAGCAAGTTGGGTGCTTACATGAGTTTTGGAGCCAGACACACCTGAGTTATAATTGTAAACATGCCGTTATTAGGTTGATCCATATGAACTTGCTCTTTTTTGTAGAGGAAATGCAGTCAAATATTGGCCTTTACATGTGGTTCAACCTACTAGCTTTATGACCCTGAACAAGGTACTTAATCTGAGTCTCAATTTTTTCATCTATAAAATAAGAATAATTGCCCCGCTGAAACCAGTTTGGCTCAGTGGATAGAATGTCAGCCTGTGGACTGAAGGGTCCCGGGTTTGATTCTGGTCAAGGGCATGTACCTTGCTTGCAGGCACATCCCCAGTGGGGGAGAGGGGCGTGCAGGAGGCAGCTGATGGATGTTTCTCTCTCATCGATGTTTCTAGCTCTCTATCCCTATCCCTTCCTCTCTGTAAAAAATCAATAAGATATATTAAGAAGAAGAAGAACAAGAACAAGAACAAGAAGAAGAAGGAGGAGGAGGAGGAGGAGAAGAGCCCCATCACGGTTGAGGATTCAATTAACTAAATAAAATAAATGTATAATAAATAATAATTTTTGTTTCCCAAAATGTATCATAATAAGGGTGCATTGCTTTCATAATGGAAGAAAATAATAGCAATGTGACTTTAAGATATGTATATATATTTTTATTGGCTTCATAGAGGGAAGGAAAGGGAGAGATAGAAACAGCCATGGTGAGAGAAGGATTGATTGGCTGCCTCCTGCATACCCTACACTGGGGGTCAAGCCAGAAACCGGGCATGTACCCTGACTGGGAATCAAATGTTCCTTGCTGGTTCATGGGTTGACGCTCAACCACTGAGCCACACTAGCCGGGCTTCATAACTTTTGAAAATGTTAAATGACAACGCAGAGATGGAAACGGGGAGGTCAAAGGTTCTCATTTCCCACAAATCTGAAAGTGACAGGACAGCATGATGTAAGATTAACAAGAACGAGGAATGAGGCACCTGCAAGAAGCCAGGAAGGAAAGGGCAGGGAAAACCGGATGTGGAAACCCAGGACTGGCCCAGAAAACCAAAGCCTGAGCCAAAGGCAAGAGCAGTTGCTGGGACCAGGGCCTGAGGTCGACTCCTCCCAAAACTCTGGGTATGCAAGCCTGGAGAAAAGACATCTCACCTCGATGGGCTCTTCTCCCAGGATCAGGGTGAATTACGTGATTAATGAGTGATTCTCATGCACTGCAAGCGAGTCCAGGCCCCTCACGACATGTTTATTAAAAGCACAGACTTGACTGCAAGCCTTACCAAAAGCAGTAGCACTTCCCATTGAAGGGTCGGGCACATCGGCATGGCCGGGTGTGTGTGTGTGTGTGTGTGTGTGTGTGTGTGTGTGTGTGAGACAGTTGGCAGCCCCAGTGCCAGTGGAGTCATCTTGTGGGCTCAGTGAGGATGAGCAGATGGAGGGGACAGAAGAAGGAGAAGGAGAAGGAGAAGGAGAAGGAGAAGGAGAAGGAGAAGGAGAAGGAGAAGGAGAAGGAGAAGGAGAAGGAGAAGGAGAAGGAGAAGGAGAAGGAGAAGGAGAAGGAGAAGGAGGAGAAGAAGGAGGAGGAGGAGGAGGAGGAGGAGGAGGAGGAGAAGGAGGAGGAGGAGAAGAGCCCCATCACACAGTTGAGGATTCAATTAACTAAATAAAATAAGTGTATAATAAATAATAATTGATTTATTATTAATAATTTATTTATTATTAATCTACTGGGGTGGCCAAAACCGGTTTAGCTCAATGGATAGAGCGTCGGCTTGAGGACTGAAGGGTCCCGGGTTCAATTCTGATCAAGGGCATGTACCTTGGTTGCAGGCATATCCCCAGTAGGGAGTGTGCAAGAGGCAGCTGATCGATGACACTCTCTCATCGATGTTTCTAGCTCTCTATCTCTCTCCCTTCCTCTCTGTACAAAATCAATAAAATATATATTTTTAAAAAAGAAAAAGAAAGAAAGAATACCGGGGTGAAAACAGAGAGGCCAAGGCAGGCTGGAGGCCTGGAGTGGGATTGGGGGCGTGGAGGGTCTCACCTTCCTCCTCCGAGTAGGAACAGCTCTGGAATATGCAGTTTTGCAGGGGTCCGTGGGACAAGATCCCGGCAGAGATGATGATGCTCTGCCTGACGTGCTCAGGCCAGCGCTGTAGGAAGCGGATGGTGGACAGGTACAGCCAGCCCTTGGAGAAGGACATGATCAGCAGCATGGTGAAGGCAATCAGGCTGAGCACCGAGGTGAGCACCTGCACCTTCCAGCGGGAAGTGTGTGCGACCCTCCACCTCAGGGGCAACAAGGAGTCCCGCCGGTGGTACCCCATCGCCCCCCGTTCTTGTCCCCGGTTCCTCTCTGCCCCTGTCCTCTCCAGGCTTCTGGAGTCCATCACTCTCTCCTCCTGAACCAGGGAGCTCACCCCTAATGTCCCCTGTCCCCATCCTGAGCATCCCCTGTCTCCCCTTCCATCCTCCACCCCATGCCGCCCCTTCCCTTCCTAGGCTCAGCTGTCCCTCATGTTCAAAAGATTTCCATCAAGCGGAGCAGGTGCCACCACGGGGCTCGGGAGCTGGGAAAAGAACCTCCCATCGGCAGGGCAGGGCCCCTAACGGCCGTGGAATGTTCCTGGGGGTCAGTTAAATGGGGGAGGGGCCCACGGCTTCGCCTCCAGCTCCTTCTGGAAACACTGCTCCTCAGGGCTCAGCTCAGAACTGTGGCTCGGATGCCTCCCTCCTCCTAAGACAGTGAGTGGTCAGCAAACAGCGGCCCTGGAGCCACAGGCGGCTCAAGGGCGGCGGTTTGGGTTTGCTGCTCTGTTGACTCATGCGTTTGCCGACCCCTGTCATGTACTGCCCTTTGCCTCTTTGCACCCAAGATGCCACAACTGCCTAACCCTCACAGCTGCCAACGACACGGTAACATTTAGTCTAGCAGTGGTCAGCAAACTCATGAGTCAACAGAGCAGCCCAGGTGGCTCAGGAGCTGCAGTTTGCCGACCACTGACCTAAGAGCAACGGTCTCGGAGGGGCTCCTTTCTCTCCCCATTTCGTCTGCCCTGACCCCAACCCCAAAGGCTCACTGATGGAGCTGGAGGAGGGAGAGGTCTGTCCCCAGGAAAACGCCTGGAAGTGTGGTCTGGGGGGTAATCCACCTCGCTCCTCCCCACCCTCCCTCCCACCGCTCCCACTTCCAGGCGGCGGCTGCCATTCCCTCCCCTCTTCTATGTCTTTCTTTTATTTTTTTAATATATATATTTTTATTTTTTTACAGAGAGGAAAAGAGAGGAACAGAGAGTTAGAAACATCGATGAGAGAGAGTCATCGATCAGCTGCCTCTTGCACACCCCCTCCTGGGGATGTGCCCGCAACCAAGGTACATGCCCTTGACCGGAATCGAACCTGGGACCTTTCGGACCGACGCTCTATCCACTGAGCCAAACTGGTTTCAGCCTTCTTCTATCTTTCTTTCTGCTTTTCTTTCAGCCTCAGAAGAGGGCAGGTAGGATAAGGACAGGGTATGTGGTTTCATGCCATCTGAGAAGATTTTCCTAATCTCCCTTTGAAGTTATAGGGAAAGAAATCTGAGTCACCCATGGTGGCCCTGTCATAGTGGCCTCTGGACCTCACTCAGCTCCTGGAATTCTCATGAGGAGAGAGCCTTTCAAATGTGGTGTGACTTTGAGTCCCGCCAGAGGTGGCTTGCTTTGGTGAAGCACACAGGTTGTAGGGTGTGAATGATGGGCTTTCCTCTTTTTTTCTTTTTTCTTTTTTTAATACATTTTATTGATTTTTTTTACAGAGAGGAAGGGAGAGGGTCAGAGAGCCAGAAACATCAATGAGAGAGAAACATGGACCAGCTGCCTCCTGCACCGGGGATGTGCCCACAACCAAGGTACATACTCTTGACCAGAATCGAACCCGGGACCCTTCAGTCCGCAGACCAACGCTCTATCCACTGAGCCAAAGTGGTTCTGGCTGGGCTATCCTCTTTATAGCCCTGTGAACCTACATGAGTCAGAGCTTCTTTTTTTTTCTTTATTGATTAAGGTATGACATATGTGTCCTTTCCCCCCCATGGCCCTCCCTACTCATGCCCTCACCCCCTGATGTCTGTGTCCACTGGTTAGGCTTATCTGCATGCAGACAAGTCCTTTGGTTGATCTCTCCCCCTTACCTCTGCCCTCCCCTACCCGGTCTGACCAATGCTTCTCTGTCTCTGGATCTGTTTTTGTTCATCAGTGTATGTTGTTCATTACATATTCCACAAATGAGTGAGATCATGTGATAGTTATCTTTCTCTGACTGGGAATTAGAGCTTCTTTATGCCTTAGTTACCATCTGTAACACAGAGACAATAATACATGCCTCAGTCTTGGGTTGGGTGTTGAATGGGAGAATGAACAAAAAAGAACTCATTGGCTGAAACCGGTTTGGGTCAGTGGGTAGAGCGTCGGCCTGCAGACTGAAAGGTCCCAGGTTCGATTCGGGTCAAGGGCACGTACCTTGGTTGCAGGCACATTTCCAGTAGGGGGTGTGCAAGAGGCAGCTGGTCGATGTCACACACACACACACCCCCACTTGGGATGTGCCCGCAACCAAGGTACGTGCCCCTGCCCAAAACCAAACCTGGGGCCCTTCAATCCGCAGGGCAATGCTCTATCCACTGAGCCAAACCAGATTCGGCACAAGTTGCAGACTTTTTGCTGTGTCTTTTTACATGGGGACAGGGAGCTCTGTGGGGTCTCTTTTATAAGGGCACTAATTCCATTCAAAAGGGCTCCACCCTTATGACCTAATCACCTCTCAAAGGCTCACATCCTATTACCGTGTTTCCCCAAAAATAAGACATCCTCCAAAAATAAGACCTAGTGCATGGAAAGTTAAGACATCCCCTGAAAATAAGACCTAGAGCAACTTTGGGAGAAAAAATTAATATAAGACACTGTCTTATTTTCGGGGAAACAGGGTACTATGAACTTGGGGCATAGTTTTCTAACATATGGATTTGGGGGTGCACAGACATTCAGACCATAGCACTCTGACTCTGGTCTTCCTTCTCCCTGAATATCTTGCTCTTCCTCTGCAGGCCAACCTCCTCCTCTCCTCTGGTCCGCGGAGTGAGAAACGTGGCCCTGACACCTCAGCTACCCACCTTTGGCTGTTAGAGAGGAGTCCGCTCAGTCCAAACATCCTCTGGCCCTGCCAGGGACCAGTGTCATCCCTAGAACAATCCGCCATGGTCGGGGGCACCCGGATGTGGAGGCCGACAGAGAGGGAGCTGGTGAACAAATTCCCTAACTTCCTTGGCCATGGGTTGTGCTAACTCTGTTCTACACTAGGAGGGGGCAGTGATGGATGAAGGGCGTGCTGGGCCTACTGGGAATGTCATTCATACAGAGATAGCGACCATCAGGATTGTGTTTCCTTCTTTGGTTCTGTTTTCGCTTTTCCTGGAGTTCCTAAGAGTTTCTAATCATAATAGACAGCTCCAATAGCGATACAAAACAACATGGAAGCCGAAACTGGTTTGGCTCAGTGGATAGAGCATTGGCCTGCGGACTGAAAGGTCCCAGGTTCGATTCTGGTCAAGGGCTCGTACCTTGGTTGCGGGCACATCCCCAGTGGGGGAGTGCAAGAGGCAGCTAGTTGATGTTTCTCTCTCATCTCTCTCAATTCCTCTATGTGTAAAATAAAAAAAAATTAAAATTAAAAAAAAAGACAACATGGAAGAACCTTGGAAATACAATGCTTCCTGAAAGACAGACTCCCAGAAGACTACACTGTAAACATCTTTATAGAGCTCATAAACAAACACAACTAAACAAAGCATTGTCTATGCATACATGCTATTATGATTGCATGGGTGTGTTGTTTTTTTTAAGCAGCAGAATGATAAACACACACACAAAAAATAATATTGCCTATTTCTCAGGCAAAGCAGGGGAATGGGACAAGGAGGATTACATTGGCACACACACATTACTGGCAACAGGTTCTTGGTTCCTGATTTGGGTGAAAGGTACATGGTATTCATGCTATTAGAATCATTTATAACTAACATATATTTCATATAATCCTGTGAACCTATCAAACACTGTTTTTCAAAAGGTAATTAAAACAGTTCAAGACAGGAAATGGAATCTGAGTGATTCCTAGCTCTGCCTTGAGAGATATTTATAAGTCACAATACATAAACTAAACACTGTTAATTGAGTTTCAGCTTTTAGAATCAACAGATGGACAAAGCACGGAAGACTTCGCTGTTGCTACAGAAGTAAACATAGCGGTCATCAGCTTTGATGTGGCCCAAGTAAAAGCCTAGAAGAGGGGAAGGGAAGGTGGAAAGAGAAGAGAGCTGAGGGGGAGGGTGGGAGGCCTGACAACAGGGTCTCTACATAAGGCTGTGTTACCTGTGCTGCAGAGCATATGGCTGAGGGAGGGAGTGAGAGCTGAGCTCCAGGCTGCATTTTGCTGGATAAGCCATGCCCACTGGCCTGAAGGAAGAGGCACCTTGTTCTCTGCTTCATGAAGGTGCTGCTCCCACCACACCTTGACCCCCACATCCATTCCGAGGGGCTGTCTGTTGGCCACAAGGTGAAAGGCACAAAGGCACCTTCCTGGCCAACTGCCTTATGAGGCTGTGTGACCAGTGAGAATTCTTAGGTTGCCAACTCAAAGCCGAACGAAGTTAGGGAAAAAGGAACATATCGGGGCGATACTGAATAAACACAGATTCAGCCAAGACCGGTTTGGCTCAATGGATAGAGCATCGGCTTGGGGACTGAAGGGTCCCGGGTTCGATTCCGGTCAAGGGCATGTACCTTGGTTGCAGGCATATCCCCAGTGGGGGGTGTGCAAGAGGCAGCTGATCGATGACTCTCTCTCATTGATGTTTCTAACTCTCTATCCCTCTCACCCTTCCTCTCTGTAAAAAATCAATAAAATATATATTTTTTAAAAAGATATTGGTGTGTTCATTCATTTTGGAAGTTACAGAGTATTGGGGGTTTCCATATAGCAAACAATTCCCACACTAATTAGAGGGGTTACATTATTGTATCAGTGCCCAAACCCTGTAGGTTGGGAAACATTGTGGGGCTTTCTACAGCTTCCCTACCCGGTGTGTGAGCCTCGGGCCAGCAGCCTGGGCCGCACCTGTAAGGAGATGCCCAAGTCCTCAGCACACTCTCCAGAGTTTGAGGAACACACCATCACCAACAGACCCACAGGAAAGAAGGATGCATCCTTTACCAGATGCAAAGGAGAGGACTCTCACATCAGAATCACCCTGGAATGCCAGGGGCCTGGGAACTTGCTTATGAAAAGCCCCAGCCAGCGTGGCTTTCGGGTTCAAAGGCTTGGAGAGAGAGCTGACGATGCACAGATTGACCATTAGTCATTAGGAAAACACAAATTAGCCCTAGCCAGTAAAGCTCAGTGAGTAGAGCGTCAGCCTGCAAACTGAAGAGTTGCAGGCTTGATTCCAGTCAAGGGCACATGCACGGGTTTCAGGCTCAATCCCCAGTAGGGGGTGTGCAGGAGGCAGCTGATCAATGATTCTATTTCTCTTCCTCTCTACCTCTCTGAAATCAATAAATTTTTAAAAAGAAAACACAAATTAAAACTATGAGAAATCAGAAACATCAATCAAAAAAGATATATGCACCCCTATGTTCATAGCAGCACAATTTACAATAGTTAAGATTTGGAAACAGCCTAAGTGCCCATCAGCAGATTAGTGGATTAAAAAACAGTGGTACATTTACACAATGGAATACTACGCTACTGTAAAAAAGAAGGAATTCTTACAGTTTGCAACCACATGGCTGGACCTGGAGAGCATTATGTTAAGTGAAATAAGCCAGTTGGAGAAAGATAAATACATAATCGCATGATCTCACTCATTTGTGGAATATATTGAACAACATAAACTGATGAACAAAAATAGATCCAGAGACATAGGAGTCCCTCAAACCTCAGAGGGAAAGCGGGGATGGAGGGGGGAAGGGGGCGGGGCCATTAAGAGATCAACCAAAGAACTTGTGTGCATGCATATGAGCATTACCCATGGACACAGACCACATGTGTCAAACACAAGGCCCGCGGGCCAAATCCGTCCCGCCAGGCCTTGCAATGTGGCCCGCGCCAGGCCTTGCAATGTGGCCCGCACCGCGCTGTCATCACTGCACTCCGCTGCGTTTCCATTACAATGACAGTTTATGACTGTTCAGTAAACCATTCGGCCCGAGATTTAGGCTGGATTTTAGATTTTGGCCCCTTCTCTGATTGAGTTCGACACCCCTAGACACAGACGGTAGAAGGGTGAGGGTCTGTGCTGGGGGCAGGAGCAGGCAGGGAGAAGTCAATGGCTGGGGGGGGGGGGCACACACACACACACACACACACACACACACATATGTAATACTTTCAACAACAAAGAATTCTAAAAAGGAATAAATAAAATAAATAAAACCAAAATGAGATACCACTACACACCTATTAGAATGGGGGGGGGGGGAAAAACAAAAAACCATTCTGGGTTTTTACATTGTTCATGTTTGTCAGCTTTTAAAAATAAAAGCCGAAACCGGTTTGGCTCAGTGAATACAGCATCAGCCTGTGGACTGAAAGGTCCCGGGTTCGATTCCGGTCAAGGGCATGTATGTACCTTGGTTGCGGACACATCCCCAGTGTGGGGTGTGCAGGAGGCAGCTGATCGATGTTTCTAATTCTCTATCCCTCTCTCTTCCTCTCTGTAAAAAAATCAATAAAATATATATTTTTTAAATAAATAAAAATAAGTGATTAATTATTTTTATCCTTCTAAATAAAACTCACTTTTGTACCCAGTTTTTAATTCATATTTTGTATTCTTTTTCTTTAGAAGAACCCCATAAAATCGGGTTTCAGCCCAACCCCCTTCCCTCACAGGGCAGCTTCAGATTTCCAAAGGTGGGCAGAGTGGGAAAAGATTTCAGGAGTGAAGGGGAAGGTGCCTCCAGGGGGCTGGAGGCCGGTGGGTCAGCGGAGTATGGGAAGGAGAAAGGAGAAAACTGGGACCAGGAGGAGTGAGATGCGACTCCGGGTCGACTGCGGAGCGGTGTGGGCTTAGGCACTCGGCAAGGCTGAGCCCCAGAGACAGAAGTCGGTGCAGAGAACAATGGGAAACGTCTGCCCCGCCGCCGACGCTGGGGCGCTGGGACCAGCCAGCTGCACGCCGGCCCTGGACCTGGGAAGTTGGAGGCCACCGGGGAGCCAGCCCTGCGGGGAGCGGGGCGTCGCCCCAAAGTCCTCAGGATTTCTCGCGGGGCGGCCGCCCCCGGGTCCTGCCTCGCGGGGGAGGCGAGGCTGAGAACCAGTCCGCCGAGCTCGGCCGGGAGAAGCGCCAAGGCCGCGAGCTGGGAACCGGCGGCGCCAGGTAGGTCTGGGTGCACCGCGGACCCGGCCCGGGCGCGGCGGGGGCGGGGCGGGGCCTGGCATGGGGCGGGGCCTGGCGTGGGAGGGGCCTGTCCTGGGGGCGGGGCCAGTCCGGGGGCGGGGCCACAAGGGCGTCCCGGTTAGATCCACAGGGGAGTTGATGCCCGTTGCTCCCTTGCTCTGGCCCCAGACTGTCTCGGGCCGCTGCGGGGCAGGGAGCCGCTGGTTTGGGGAGGGCGAGCCGGGGAGCAAGGTCGGGCGGCCTGCGGGGCTGTCAGGCTGGTGCGGGGACAGTCGGAGGAGCCGTACTCCGGCTCCGGGTGGTTTGCTGCCTGGTGGCCTGGCCGACCCGTAAAGCAGGGACCAGCAGACACCCAGGGAGCTGAAGAGAGAGGCGAGTCCAGCGAGGAAGGAAGGAGGACAGAGAGAGAGAAGCTTTCAGGGGTGGACAGACCAGGCTGAAGGGCCTGGGAAGGACCTCAGGGAGCGGGCTGGAGGGCCTGTGCGGCCAGAAGGAGATGGCAGAGGGCTAGTGAGCAGGCTGCAGGGGAAGGGGGGATCTCGTCCACCTGTTGCTTGTGGTCAGGATTGCAACCCGCCTCAGCTCAGCAGTAATAATGGCCTCAACGATGTGGACCCAGAGCCATAGAAGGGCCAGTGCAGACAGGTCAGTGCCCTGTCCTATCTGCATTCTCACGGAATCCCCGTATATGGAGGCCACAAACATGAGGAGCAGGACTGGGGGGGTGGAGAGAGCACATACTGAGAGAGAGAGAGAGAGAGAGAGAGAGAGAGAGAGAGAGAGAGAGAGAGAGACTACCAATGGGGCCTGGCTTCCCCAACCTGTCCTCCCAGGCACCTCCCCCGGCCAGAGACACACCTGTGCCTCCCCGGAGCCTATGAAATATGACTTTCATCCACCTCCCCAGCACGATCGAATGTGAAGGCATGGAATGACGGCAGCTTCAGGGCCCCCCGAAGGGGTCAATGAACCTCTCTGCCACCTGGAACGTTTGTCCCGACCCCCGTCACCCCCACCACCATGCCTGGAACACCAGACAGGGCAGCACGGGGAGGCTTCTCCCGTGAACCCGCCCCCCACACCTACGAGGGAGCTGCAGAAGGTGCTCAGAGGGGCGGGAAGGGTGAGGAGCGCCACAGGATGGAGAGGATGCGGGGCCGGCAGGAGTGCGGCTGTGTGACAGGTGGATCCCCGTGGAGGTGTGCAGGGGGTGGAGGGAGAGAATTCACGGCTCGCCAAGTTACCTACAGCCATGGTGCCTCCTGTACCACCCCCATCATCCCCCCTCTGTCTTCCTCACCCCGGCCCCAGCCCTCCTCCCACCCACCTTCTCCACACTCATGGTGGTCTCGCTGCCCCACATCCACCCCGCGCCCACATAGCTGTCCTTCGTGCCCCTCGCCCTCTCCGACAGGCCTGCCGAATGCACACCCCTCCCAAGCTGCACACACTCACTTGTCACCCCAAAATGGAAAGGGGCTCTGAGATAGCAGAAACAGACAGGTTCCTTTCCTTCCTGTCTTTTCTGAAACGTGTGGTGGTGTTTTATGTGCCTTTACATCCCCAAAACAACTCTTACCTGGTCTTTGTCCTCCACTAGTCATTACCGCATTTCTAGGGCACCTGAAGTGGGCTACGGGGGCCTCCTCAGCAGCAGAGCTAGGCAGTACCATACATGGGTCATGTGTAGCTTTGTGTGAGCCTCCTATGTCTGTCTGTCTTTGTGTGAGCCTCCTATGTCTGTCTGTCTTTCTCTGAGTATCTCAGAGAGGGAGTTTGGTGGAGAGAGGCTCCCCAACCAGGAAACTTAGGGAGGAAATGCACCTCCCCCCGACCACCACCTTCATATCCCAGACTTCAATCCCTCTGACGCCTTCCCAGGGCTGCTTCCTTCTTGTCATTTGTGTCTCAGCTCAACTGTCACCTCCACAATCTTCTCCAAAGCGTATCTCCCCCCCACCCCCCCCACACACACACATACACACGGAGTATTCTGTATCACAGCCCTTGCTGTATTTTCTCCATAGCTGCCACCTGCCTTTATCTTGCTCATTAAATTGTTCACAATTGGGACTCGTTCTTCCCACCTGGCCCATAACCCAGAATGGAGGCTCCTGGAGGACAGGGCCCTTGTGTTCTTCATCTCTGTGTCCCCGGATCTTAGAACAGTGCCTGGCACATAGGAGGCACTCGGGAAACAGGTGTGGAACTGATTGGATTAAACCCAGGGCTGCTTGGCTGGTCGGGAAAGACCTTTATTGCTGACTGCCCTCTTCATCCTGCTCCTCGCACCTCCATCCGCCCCTGGAGCCCCAGCCATTCCTGGCGCTGCCCTATCTTCTCCCCGACCCTGCAGGAGCCCCCCACCTCCCGCCACCTGCAAACGCCCCGCCACCGCAGCCCTGGGTCCCCGGGCAGGGGTGCGTGGGCCGACACGCTGGAGCCTGTGCCTCGTCTCCAAGCCCAGTTCCCAGCAGAACTGACTGCTCTGGAAGAATCCCTTTCCAGCCAGCCCCACCCACCTCACAGAGCCACACCGGGAAACCACGGCTCCCTTAAGCACACAGCCCCCCAGAGAACCTCAGTACAGCCCCCAGCATTTATTGAAGGTTTCTCATATGCCAGGCCCTGTGCCCGGCGAATCTCCTAAGTCACAGACACGCCAATGCCAGCGCCGTTCTCCCTCTGCGTCTCTGACAGTCCCTGCGCCTCCCGTGGTCAGCGTGGCGGCTTCTGTCCCGGGCAAGTGTCTGTGCGTGAGTGAAGGGAAGGTGCAGAGGCCTCGCTCAGAGGCCTGTGCCAGGCCCGGGCCCCACTCGCCGCCGGCCACTGTCTGCTCCTCTGTCAGTCCCTCGCCTCCTCCTGGCCTCGCACGGGGGCAATTTCTCATCCAGAAGAAGACGCCCTCCATTCTCTGCCCACTGCTTGGCCCCACGTCTCTGTGAGAGGACCGGGATGAAGGCAGGAAAGCCCAGAAGCTCCTCAGCTGGCCCCTGATCCACAGCTTCCGTGTCCTGGGGTCCGAGGCCACGGCTGGACACTGATTACAGTTCAGTTGGGGGCTTTCCCAGCAAAGATCACAGATGCCACGCTTTGGGGCGAGGAGAAGGGCTGGTGGGCTTCGGGGGCCCTCGCACCCCAGTCACTGGCCATCTTCACAAGCCCCTGGGGCTGCTCCGCCAGGCTGCTTGTCTGCTCCAGAACATCACCCTCCAGTGTCAGGGACTCCGGCCCCCAAGAGAGCCAGATCCCAGGGCTCTCGCCCCGGCTCTGGCCTCCGGCTGCCAAGCCACATCCAGCTCCTTCTCCTCTGGCTCTCAGGCTGCGGTCTTTCTCCGAGAGAATAATAGTTAAAACGGGGGCCGAGGGGAGAACGGGGCAGTCAGTCATCTGGGAGGAGGCAAGATCGCACACATACACACTCAGCAGACACACACACACACACACACACACACACTCAGCAGATACACACACACACACACACACACACACACACACACCACTCAGCAGATACACACACACACACATTCTCCGAGAAACACACTCTGGATTCTTCTAGAAAAGAAAATTTGGCTTGAGAGGACACAGGAAACACCCTGAGAATGAAATCTAATACTTCTTAGGTTCAAAGGGCAGGGCTGGTGGTTGCTATAGAACCAAAGAGAGTCACTGCTGATCTCTTGGGTCCAGGTGAGCCAGCTCTGCTCTAAGCCTCTGTCTCCACTGGCAACACACTCAGACCAGCCTCATTCTCCCTCGTTGCCTGGGCTCCGACCGTCCTGATTTCATTGGCTGCCTTGTCCCGAAGCTTGGTCCCTATTGGTTGCCACTAGAGGTAGTATTTCCACTTGACAGCGAATCCAATAGATAGATGAGCTTTGTCCTCTCGGTGCCACGCTGCCAGCTGTCCTGCCAGCCTGCGCGCCCTCCCCAGCATGCATTAGGATTGGGGGGCACTGGGGGTTGCTGAAGAGGGTCCAACAGCCTCAAGGAGCCTCTGGTGCTGGCGCAGGTGCCTCCTCCTCTCATGTTCCCCTGTGACTTCACACACCAGCTGGGCAGGGAAGGCCCCGGGAAGCCCCTTCAGCCACCCTGGAGAGAGAGAGAGGGCCCCAGGGGAGCCGGGAAAAGGGGCAGGTCAGGAGGGAAAGGAGGCACCATGGGGTCTAGTGTCTGAGGGTCATGGTGAGCATTGGTAGAAAGGCCATTGGAGGTGGAGGTGACAATATCACCAGAGAGGGTCAGGTCAGGGTCACTTCTCTGTCAAGCCCTGCCGTGGCTGCTCATCCCACTCAGAGCGGAAGCCAGAACCCCTGCAGGGATCTCTGAGGACCCACATGACCTGGTCCCTGTGATCTCTCTGACCCCACCTGCTTCTCTCCCTTCTCCTCGCTCCCCTGAGCCACACACGTCTCCTTCCTGTTTCCTAAACACACCACCCACAGTGCCTGCCGCTGACTCCGGCTCCGACTGGGACATTCTTCCTCTGGATGCCCCGGGCCCAAGAGCCTCAGCTCCATCCGGTCATGGCTGACACACATGGTGCCTCCTCGCTGAGGTCCACCTAACCTCCCAGTTTAAACTGGTCACCCACCCACCCCCGCCACCCCTGCCCTCCCTGACTCTGCTGCCCTTTCCTTTTGTCACAGACTCGGCACCTTCAGGCGCACTGCATGCCATTTACTTTTTATCTTGTTTATTCTCTCTTGTTTCTCCTCCCCTAGAATGCGGGCTCTGCACACAGGAATATCCGTGTGCTCGGTTCACAGAGCCGAGAAGAGCGAGCGGCAGCTCCCAGGTGCTTGGTAAGCATTTACTGAGTGAAGAAATAGAAGAATCTGCCGAAACCAGTTTGGCTCAGTGGATAGAGCGTCGGCCTGCGGACTGAAGGGTCCCAGGCTCGATTCCGGACAAGGGCATGTACCCTGGTTGCGGGCACATCCCTGGTGGGGGGGGTGCAGGAGGCAGCTGGTCAATGTTTCTCTCTCATCGATGTTTCTGGCTCTCTTTCTCTCCCTTCCTCTCTGTAAAAAATGAATAAAATATATTTTTAAAAATAAAAAAATAAAAATAAAGAAACAGAAGAATCTCTCACCTTCAGGGCTCTTGTGTAGGTTCTTGGGGGCAGCCCTGGACTCCGGACTCGGTCCCTCAGTCTTGACTGGTGTAGAAGGCTCTGAACAGGTATCCTGGGAACATTCTGGTGGGGGTGGGGTGACATTACCGCAGGATCAAGGTTATTTAGCTTCTCACCCATATTTCCCCTTCAGGTTCACTTTTCCCTCCCTCTCCCTCCAGGGGTTACTCACCACAGTCCTCATAGATGGTGTCTGGGGAGCAGGGGAGGGGGCCAGGGGTGGGGAAGGCTCCCAGCCAGCGCTGCATGTCTGATCTGGTGGGACAAGGGAGGGTTCCCGTTGGCCCAGGAGATCCTGCTGGGGGTGAGGCAGGGGCCACGGAGGAGAGAGACTGGGGAGGGGGTGGTAGGCGCTGAGAGGTCAGATCAGGGTCCCGTTAGGAGACACAACTCACAGGGAGGAAGCCTGGAGCAGCCGCTGGGTGGGGCGGCCCTGGTGGTTGCTGAGAAGGGAGAGGCGGAACGTAGGGGGTCCAGATGGGTCCGGAACCTGCTGGGCCTGGACCAGGGAGCGATGGGCGTAGTCCAGCACCTGCAGCCGCTGCCCACTGCCCAGGGAAGAGGGCGTTCAGACGGAGGGCAGAAGTCCCGCCGGACTCCTCCTCCTCACCCCTGCCTGGGCTCCCGCCCTCCCTGGGACCCACCTCTTGGGCTGCGTGATGAGCAGCAGGTCACTAAAGAGCAGCAGGCAGAGGGGGGTGAAGCGGGGGCGCGAGGTGAAGAGCATGCCCCCTCTCCGGCACCCTAACTCCGTCAGCTCCCCCTGCAGCTCCAGGCGCCTCGACCAGGAGACCAGGGGCAGGGCCTGGGAGGAAGCAGGGAGGAGGTTCTGGCTTCTTCGCAGAACACCGCGGGGGGGCGGGGGGGGGGCGCGGGGAGTCTGGACGGGGGCTGACCTTGACTTTGTGGAAGCGCAGCCTCTGCGTGAGCCGGATCAGCTCCTCTGTCTGCTTCATGCGCCCCACCTCAGCACTGCAGCGCTCGATGATCTGGGTGAGGGAGGGAGTCACTCACCCCCATTCCCTCCCACCCTCCCTTCTCCCCGACCCCCTCCCCGCCTCCCCGGGCCTCCGCAGCCCACCTTGCTGATGGCACCCAGGGCCTTCTGGGCGTTCTCCTGGCGGCTGGACCCCTCCTCTGTCTGGTGGAGGATGTTCTGAGGACAAGGAGGAAGGGTGACTGGGCCCTGCCTGGCGGCCCTGGGGCTCAGAGGGGCTTGGCAGGATGCTCGCAGGGCTCACAGGGGGTTGGGGTTCGCAGGGCTGAGGAACCAGCCTCAGCAAAGCCGAGAGACCTCACCGCTCACTGTCTGCCTAACCCTGAGCAGGTCACGTTGCCTCTCTGAGCCTCAGTTTCTGCATCTGTAAATTGGGGACAGTGCCCACCTAGCCTACCAATGGAGGATGCAGCAACGTAATATATGTAAGGTGCTTCACATAGTCCTTGGCGCATACTAAGTGCCGAAAGAAGGTGGCTGTTATTTTAATAATTACCAGCCACAACTATCAGTGAAAACAGTAAAGCACAGTGGTTAGAGTGCCTGGAATTACCGTATTTTTCGGACCATAAGACGCACTTTTTTTCCCCCAGAAGTGGGGGGGAAAAGTCCCTGCGTCTTATGGTCCAAATATAGCCTACACATATACTTTAAAAAAAAAGTTTTTTTACTTGCCCGGCTCTGTGTGGTCTCTGTGTGCTTGCCCGGCTCTAAAATGGTTCTAAATGCTGCTGTTTACTTTACAGGGTTGATTACATGTGTTTATGACTGTGATGTTGGGTTTTAATGCACATAAAATATTTTAGGACACTATTTGTTTCAGAATCTTTTTTTCTTCATTTCCCTTCTCTAAAAACTGGTGCGTCTTATGGTCCGGTGCGTCTTATGGTCCGAAAAATACGGTAAACTTTGTCTCCATCAGTGATTATCCGGATGACCTGGACAAGTGATTGAACCTCTCTGTGCCTCAGTTTCCTCATCTGGAAAGTGGATCAGTCATCTTTCCTACCCTCATACAGTCATGGGTAGGTTCTATATTAGAACCATGCCAAGAACAGAGCACTCAACGGCTGTTTAATTGCTATGGTGACGTGTGATTATTTTGCCTGCGTTGGGGTGTAAGAAGCTGAGGAAGACCCAGTAAACTGGGGAGATATGAAAATACTGCCCATCTAGTTGGGAACGCTTCTCATTGGCATCCCCACACTGAGCGACCTGGTTTAGGGAGAAGCTTCTAATCTGCCATAGAGTTTCTCAACCTTTTTTAAAAATATATTTTTGCCAAAACCAGTTTGACTCAGTGGATAGAGCGTCGGCCTGCGGACTGAAGGGTCCCAGGTTTGATTCTGGTCAAGGGCATGTACCTTGGTTGCAGGCACATCCCCAGTAGGGGCTGTGCAGGAGACAGCTGACCGATGTTTCTCTCTCATCGATGTTTCTAACTATCTCTCTCTCTTCCTCTCTGTAAAAAATCAATAAAATATATTAAATATATATATATATATATATATATATATATATATATGATTGATTTCAGAGAGGAAGGGAGAGGGAGAGATAGAAACATCAATGGTGAGAGAGAATCATTGACTGGCCAACTCATGCTGGAGATCGAGCACCCTGGGCATCTGCTCTTGTTCCGAATCAAACCTGAGACCCTTCAGTCCACAGGCCGATGCTCTACCCACTGAGCCAAACCAGCTAGGGCTCAACCTGTTATTTTTTTAACTCAGTATCACCCCGCTAAGGAGCCTTTGTAGAAATGTAATACCACAGATATGCTGTACATCTTTCATGCACCGGGGCCCTTTGAAGTACCACAACCATTGGAATGTTTAAGATTTTTTTTTTTACCTCCCAAAGAATGAACTTTGCCTCCTTGTGCGTGATACCACCCCCACTGGGAAGGTATGCAGTGAGAGGCTCCGCCGAGGTGACCACCACGTTCCCTCCGAGGCCCAGAGAGAGAAAGGGACTTGCCCAAGGTCAGTCAGCCGGCTGGTGGCAGAGCAAGCCGAGACCTCCTGCCTCCAGCCAGAGGTCCATTTCCTGCCCCCAGCACGCTCCCTGAGACAGTGGAGGAGCTCGAGGCAGAGTTTGGTGGGTCCTGGACTATGAGGCCCCGACGGGGTCTGATTTAGGGAAGCCCGTGTTCGTGGGGGGGGGGGGGGGGGGGGGGGGGTGGCGGTGGCGGGGCAGGAGGCCCCGGGAGTTGGTGGGCAGGAGAGGCCGGGCCCCGGTACCTGCAGTAACATGCGGAGCCGCGTGATGCGCTGGAAGGGCAGCAGCAGGAAGGACGGCAGCGGGAGCCGCTCACACTTGGGGAGGCTCTGCAGCCGGCGCAGCTCCGCCGAGAAGCGCACGTTGGTGTCCCTGCAGGAGCAGCGGGGCCGCTGGAGTGGGCCTGGAGGCCCGGTCCCCCAGCCTGCCCTGGCCCACACCCCCCCACCCTGCACCCCGGCCTTCCCCCACAGCTGTGGCCTGGCCCCTGCCCTGGAGCTCACATAAGGCGGCTGTAGGTCTCCTCCTGGTACTGCTGGTTGCGCACGTAATCCACGTACACGGAGAAGGGGCCCACGGCGTGGACATGCACCACGTCACAGAGGTCGTTGATGTGGGGGGAAGAGCGCACGCGGGACAGTAACGCCTCCAGAAACCTGAGGGGTGGGGAGCAGTCAGTCAGGAGGGGTGGAGGGTGGTGGGGGGCAGAGAGCCCGGGGCCCTGGGACAGGCTGGAAGTGAAGAGGCGCTCCGTTCGCCCAGAGGGCAGGGCCCCACTGACCACTCGCTGACTTCCTGGACCCTCTGCACGTTGGAGAAGAGGGTGTGGTGGTCCCGGGGGGTGAGCGTGTCCCGGAGGGCCTGGCTCCGCACAAAGGTGTCGGTCAGCAGCTGCAGGGAGCGCAGGTAGGAGGCCTCGGAGGTCACCACCTCAAACAGGCTCTGCGGAGGGAGGGCAGGGGGGACGTGGAACCGGTGCCCGGCCAGCCCAGGGCCCAGCCGCGCTCCCGCCTGCCCCGGGCCAGCCCCCCGCTACGCCACCTCCTGCAGGCGCCGCTCCTGGGCGCTGAGCGTGTCCAGGAGGCCGCTGGCCCGCACGGCCGGCAGCTCCTGCCACAGCGTGTTCCGAGGGCCAGGGAGCCGGGCGAAGGCGGGGGCTTCTCCGGGGCTCGCTGGAGAGGGGCTCCCCTCCGCGCTGACCCCCCACAGCTCCTCCGACAGCACGGCCGCGCGGTAGGTCTGGTACAGGGGTTCTGGAGAGCAGCCGGCACGTGAGGGAAGTCCAGGGCCCCGGAGCCCTTCCCCCGGCCTGCTGGCCACAGCGGGGGGGGCCCCAGGCCCAGAGGCTCACCATCCTGCAGCGGCACCTCCCAGTTCTGCTCCTTCAGCTCCTTCAGGCCCTCATCCCTGTGGACAGAAAAAGGGACGGAGTCCGCCCAGAGCCGACCCTGCCGCACACCTCCAGGGGCGCCATTCACGTGACAGTGTTAGGTTGAGTGCGGGAGGCCCTGGAGCCTCCCCAGACCAAACCCCAGGTATATATATATTTTAAATATATCTTATTGTCAAAGCTGGTTTGGCTCAATGGATAGAGCATCGGCTTGGGGACTGAAGGGGCCCAGGTTCGATTCCGGTTAAGGGCATGTACCTTGGTTGTGGGCATATTCCCAGTAGGGGGAGTGCAAGAGGCAGCTGATCTGTGATTCTCATCGATGTTTCTAACTCTCTATCTCTCTCCCTTCCTCTCTGTACAAAATGAATAAAATATATTTTTAAAAAATAAATAAATATATTTTATTGATTTTGTACAGAGAGGAAGAGAGAGGGATAGAGAGCTAGAAACATCGATGAGAATCATAGATTAGGTGCCTCTTGCACTCCCCCTACTGGGAATGTGCCCACAACTAAGATACATACCCTTGACCGGGGAATCAAACCTGGGACCTTTCAGTCCGCAGGCCGATGCTCTATCCACTGAGCCAAACCGGCTTTGGCACCCCAGGTATACTTATGCGCCTGTCGTATGGGAGGCCCTGACTCAGCGGGCTCCATCTACTCCCGTTGTCCCAATACTGTGTACCAGAGACGTCCAGGTCTTTATCTTCCCAGCCCTCTCCCGTAGCAATCGCCATCTGAAATGTCCTCTGTGTCTCAGGGAGACTCAGCCTGGGAAACCCAATCTCACTCCTTCCCTTCCCCCGCAGCCCTGTCCCTCCTGTTCTGGTTACCACACACCCATGCCCCCAAGCTAAAACCCCAGGAGAGCTAACACCAGTAAATGCTTGTGGAATAAATGAATGGGCTCAGGTGAGCTCTGAGAGTGGTGGGGAATCTAGGATCATTAACAAGCCCAGACAAGGTGTCCCTAGTTTAAGGTGACAACAGTCCCCGATTTTTAACAATTTGTCTCGCGGGATTTTTTTTAAAAATTGGGACTTTTTTAAAATGCCACGGGACGCTGGACAAATTGTTAAAAATGGGGACGTCTGGTCGCCTTACCGTAGTTGCCAAATAGACTTGCAGACAATAATTACAATAGAGGCTTAAGGTGGGGGAACTACAATAGAACACTTACTAGGGACCGGTTCTTCACCAATGTTATAGTCTATGATGTGGTTGGTATGCTTACCCCCATTTCACAGATGAGGAGACGGAGGCCCGGAAAGGTTAAGTGACTTACAGAAGGTCACAGAGCTGACAGGGGACAGCGCTGGGATTGGAAACCAGGGCTGCTGGTCTCTAGAGCCCGGGCCGCCTTCACTCCACCTTCGTGGAGGTGGGCCTTAGCAGGACGGCAGAGAGTCTGCCCTCAGGTAGGAGTAAGGCGGGGAGGGTTGTGGGTACCTGCCCTCCACAGTTGCTGGAGCATCATTCTGAGGGACTTCATCTGGACTGACCCCTGGAGAGAGAGCCCGGAGTGAAGAGAATAATAAATCCCCAGAATCCCCACCGGACTCCTGCCTCCTGTCCCACCAGAGACTGTTACCATAAAAACTACAACTCCCAGCAGCCCTAGAGCTGCAGGTGGTGGAGAAACAAGCTCAGGGCCTATTGGGGGTTGTAGTTTGTTCATCTGTAGACCTCTACCTCTCCATCCCTCCCCCTTCCAGCCAGAGGACCCACTCTCCCAGGCCCCGTACCTGTTTGGCTTCCATCTTCAGAGGGCACATGGAGATCAGGCTGAGGGGGGTCCACAGAGATGGTGGGGTCCTGCCTGACCCGCGTTGGTTTTGGGGGTTTGAGAGGTGGCAGGAGTTTGCGCTCGGCGGTGGAGCGGTAGGACGTGAGGACCACCGAGGGGAGACTGTTGCTGGGAGGGTTGGGGCGGGAGCGGGAGGCCCGCAGCGGGGAGGCTCGGCAGACGGCCTTGGGACCGTCCTCATGGCCCCCCACAGGGACCCACCGGAGCTCCAGGCCCGGCCGGGCCACGTGGCAGACACAGGGGCAGCAGGGAGGGCAGGCCTGGGCGGCATCTGTGGGAGACGAGGTGTGCTAAGGAAAAGGCCCTCGGCCCCTCGCTGCCCAGGGTCCTTCCCCTTAGCCTGCCCGGCAGCTGAAACATGGCCCAGCCCCGTCACCTACTCTTCAACCCCGACTCCCTTCAGACTCCCAGAAATACGGAAATCCAGTTTTTAAAAGGAAGCCCCTGAAAGGACCCAGCCTTCAACCACTGAAAACAAGACAAGATGAGCTGGATCGAGCCCACCCTCGCCCCATGAAATGCTTACCCGGCGCGCCGTTCTCCTGGGATCCCCTTCTCCGGAGGCTGCCCCGCGGGGTCTCTCTCTCCCCATTCACATCCACGCCCCCCTGGGGAGCTGGCTCCGCGGGGTGTGCAGCCTGGGCCCGGTCCTCGGCCCCCCATTCAAACTTGCCAGCCAGTCTCCGCACCGTGCCGGGGGCCGAGGCAGGGCCGTCCTGGGGCGGGGGCAGAGGCGCGCGGGGTGACCCCGAGGGTTTGGGTGGGGGTACTGGAGACCTGGGTGCAGGCTCCGGGGAGACGGAGCGCCGGGACACCGGGCTGGGGGTGCTGGGAGGGGAGTCTGGGGAGGCCTGGGAGTCCAGGCTGGTTTTAGAGGCTGAAGGGGGCAGAAGGGCAGGGGGCTTGAGGGAAGGGGCGGGGGGTTCCCAGAAGATGGGGGAGCACATTGGGGTCGGGGCATCATTGGAGGTGCCGGAAGGTTCTTGAGGAGAAGAGCCGTTGTGGGGGGGCCCCGGGGACTGGGCAGCCCGAGGTCGAGACGGGGGGCGTGGGCGGATGATCCGAGGGGGCTTCTGGGTAGGGGGTGTCGCTACAGGAAGAGACGGGTCTGACATCTTCCTTTGAGCTTTTCAAAGGAGTGGGGGGCTCTGCTGGAGTCATCCCCTGAGGAAGAGGGAGGGAGAAGAGAGAGAAAGAGACCCTCATTGGCACCCCCTGGCCTGCCCTGGGCAGACAAAGCCACTAAGCAGAACTATGTTTGCCAGCAAATCAGCCAAGACTTTGGAGTCAGGAGGGAGGGCTGCTGTACTTCCTCTCCTTCTCATCTCCAGGCTTCTCTCCTCACCTCTCATCCCTCTCGCTCCCGAGGCCCCTCCCCGGCAGCCTTCCTGGGCCCTCCCGGCCTCCCTTTCCCTCTGGCCTTGAGCTTCTGCAGTCTGGGTCTGCATGGAGGAGACAGTGAGGCCAGGGTGGGGGTGCCCCAGGAGAGACCCAAGGCAGGGGCTGGGGGTCCAGGAGAAGGGGATGGCGAAGGGGAATTTAGCTGGCCAGTGTAGCCACAACGCATCTGCTGGATGGATTGTGTGTGTGTCCACAGAGAGAGAGTGTGAAGGTGTGTGAGTGTAGTTTGTGTGTGTGTGCGCTGTTGCCAGTGCTGTAGGAAAGGCATGTTGTGTGGCGTGTCTCGGGAGTGTACTTGCTATGTGCTTACCCGGTGGTGTGGGTGGGAGAGCTTGGTGCGTGTGCGGGGTGTGGGGGGAGAGGGTGCCAGGTGAAGGCGCTCCGTGCTCTCTGCGTGGGGACGTGCGCGCTGTGAGCGTCTGCGCACACACACGCTCATGCTGGCGGTGGGGACGCATCACTATTTCCCTGCTCCACTGGCCCTCCGCCCCCCATTTCCCAGTTCCTCTCTCCGGACTCTCCCTTTCCGGATTATTTTTAGTCTCCTTTTCCTGCCGTAAAGATTCCTGGAGCCTCTGACCCCAAGAGACCAGGAGGCCCCGGACATGGTCTCTCCTGCCCCATCCTCTTGCCCCTGCCTGCCCCATCCCGCCATCGGGGCGCAGAGAAAGAGGCCCCCGTGGGAGCCTGGGTCCCGCCGGGACCCCTGAGGGTGGTGAGGAGACCAGCGTGAAGGCAAGAGCGTGGGGTCCTGAGCTCCACTTCCTCCCTCCGGGAAGGAGGCTGTGATCCTGAGAGGGCTGCAGGGTCAGGGCTGGGAGACGGGGGTGACCCCCACTCCCATCAGAAGTCAGCTAGAGAGTGAGACCCCACCCCAGGCTCCAGATCGGGTTCTTGAGAAACGAGGCAGGGTGGGGGCCTGGGCCGTGGACTGTGAGCCTTGCAGCTCCTCGGCCTCTGTGTCCTGGCAGGAAGCCCCTTATCATAATGACCCGGGCAGTGGCCTGGCTGGCCGGCCGGCCAGCTCCTCCCCAGCGTTGCCCCCCTCGGGGGATCCCGCCCTTCTCAGGTACCTTCCTTGACTGTTTACTCCCGTTCCCACCCCCACACCGCCTCTCTCAGGGAGCCAGGTATTGGGCGGAGCACTTACCCTGGAGTCCTCTCCACTCTCAGTCACCTCCTGGGGCTGAGTGAGTAGGAGCAGGAAACAGGAATCAAATCCTCCTCCCACCGGACGCCCCCCCAAACCACTCCGCTCTCCACATGCGCACACCGGGGCTCTGGAAGGCGCGATGGGCCCGTGTCCTGGGGTTCTGAGGCGGACAGGGTCTGGGGAGAGGCTGACCCCGGGGGTGGACAGCGGGCTGTTCTGTGTGTGTGCGCGCGCGTCCCTTCGGCGTGGCTGTGCAGACGGGGGCTCCCGGGCTGGAGGTGAACAGGGGTGGGTGAGGACGGGTGGGAATGGCACAGGGCTGGGCTGTCACCTCTGAATCAGCTCAGGGATGGTGCGTGCGCTCCTCGCGGCATGTCTGCCACCCTCTCCCACACCTCGCCCGCCCGGGTGCCTGTCACCTTAGCTGCCAGCCTGCTCCCCGGGGGGGGAGCCGGCCCAGTTTCACACCGAGGGGCCCCTCCCCCGGTCCCCCACCTCCCCCGCTAGCTCTGCAATGGCCCCCCCTGAATTTACCTTTATCTTTTTGGAAGTGGTTTCTATTTTCAGCCTGTCCTGCCTGCCCCTTGGAGCAAGGAGTGTGGGGCCAGGTCTCCGAGTGCCTGTTCCTGTGTTTCTGGGGCGGGAACCGAGGGCCCAGATTGGGATCTCAGCAGAGGAAGCCAGTTCCTCAGCCCCACCCGGCCATTGTGTCAGGCGTGAGTGTGTAAGTGTGTGTGTGTGTGCGTGTGTGTGTGTGTGTGTGTGTGTGTGTGTGTGTGGAGAAGGGAGAGGGGCGAGGGAGGAGGTGGGGAAGAAGACCTGAGATCTGTCTCTCTCCGGAGGATATGACTGCTGGCCCTCTGCCTGCTCCCCATTCCCAATCACCTTCTCTCTGGTCCCCTGGGAGGCTTCGATTGGCTGGCAGTGAGCACCCCTGGGGGCAGTGGGGGTGGGAAGAGGAGGGTCTCTCTCACCTCTAATTTGCTCTGTGATTGAGCAGCCCAGTTCCACGGCTGGGGGTGTGCCCTAAAAACAACTTAGGGCCTGGAATGAGCCACACCCCAGGCTGAGAAGTAGGGTAATGGGAGGAAGATTGGAAGGGCAGTTATGAACACCCAGGTGCCTGCCTTTGCCAGACCTTCTCACATGTGTACACACACTAAACAAGACCCTGGGAAGAAAAGCCAGAAAGCTGGAAAAAACACGTTTTAACCCCTTTTTCTTCAGAGTAAAAGCCAAAGTCCTTAGAATGACCAACAAGTCCCCCGATATTTTCCCTCTTGCCTAAGCTCTCCTCTCAAGCACACTGCTGCCTCAGGGACCTTGCACTGCCTGTGTCTTCTGCATGGAATCCTCCTTCCCAAGACATCCACATGGGTGAGTCAGTCCTCACCTCCTTTAAGAATTTGCTCAAAGATCACTTTCTTAATGAGGCCTGCTGCACCATTCTTGACAATTTCGGCCCACAACCTCACACCATATTTTGGACCTCCCTCCCTCCACATAGCATCATCATTCATTAGAACATACCACATAGTTTAGTATTAAATTGTCACATATATAGTTAATTGCCTTTTACATTAGAAATTGAGCTTCCTAGAGGTAGGATCTGTATCTGTTTTATTCACTAATACACCTCAAAGTTCTGGAACAGTTCTATCTCTCCCTCTCCCTTACTCTCTGAAATCAATAAAAAAAAATTTTTTTTAGCCAAAACCAGTTTGGCTCAGTGGATAGAGCGTTGACCTGTGGACTGAAGGCTCCCAGGTTTGATTCCGGTCAAGGGCATGTACCTTGGCTGCGGGCATATCCCCAAAAGGGGGTGTGCAAGAGGCAACTGATCGATGATATTGCTTCCTATTTGACGAATTGATATTGCTTAATATTTGATGAATTGATATTGCTTAATATTTGATGAATTGAACCAAATTGAACCCCACAGTCTACTACTTCCCTGACTCCCCTTTCATACAGACCATTTCCATAATTATACTAATTCCACCAGTTTCCCATCACACACACACCCACACACACACACTCCAGGACCAGGCACCTAACCTTCCAGCCCTTATGTCTAGATCCTTTCAGGTTTCCTGGGAAAGTAAATCTCTCTCCAAAAGCGCCTCAGAGACCCTATCAAGAAAGCTAGATACAGCCAAGGCCGGTTTGGCTCAATGGATTGAGTGTCGGCTTGGGGACTGAAGGGTCCCGGGTTCGATTCCGGTCAAGGGCATGTACCTTGGTTGCGGCCATATCCCCAGTAGGGGGTGTGCAAGAGGCAGCTGATGGATGACTCTCTCTCATCGATGTTTCTGACTCTCTATCTCTCTCCCTTCCTCTCTGTACAAAATCAATAAAATATATTTTAAAAAAAAGAAAGAAAGAAAGCTAGATACACATGTGTAACCAAACAAATCCTGTTTTGTATTGTTTTTACTGAAATGGAAATACCTTTATTAGTTTTGCTACTTACAGAAATGCCTTTGAAAAAGATAACTGGCCCAACGGGCATGGCTCAGTGATTGAGTGTTGACCTATGAACAGTTGGTCAGGGCACAGGTTGCAGGCTCCACCCCCGGTGAGGGGTGTGCAGGAGGCAACCAATCAATGAGTCTCTCTCATCATTGATGTTTCTATCTCTCCCTCTCCCTTACTCTTTGAAATCAATAAAAATATTTTTTTTAGCCGAAACCGGTTTGGCTCAGTGGATAGAGCGTTGGCCTGCAGACTGAAGGGTCCCAGGTTCAATTCCGGTCAAGGGCATGTACCTTGGCTGCGGGCACATCCCCAAAAGCGGGTGTGCAAGAGGCAGCTGATCGATGATTCTCTCTCATCAGTGTTTCTGATTCTATCCCTCTCTCTTTCTCTCTGTAAAAATTAATAAAAGTATATTTTTAAATATATATATATTTTTAAAAGATAAAACACACACACACAAAAGATAACTAACCAAAAGTTATCAGCACGAACATGAGTGGCACCCGGCCCTGCATGAAGCAGCCCAGGTTTGAGCGGGGATGTGCGCAGAAGCGGAATTGGATGGGTTGGGCTGCCCAGGACCTTTACCTGCCCTCCCTGGCGGGTCTGAGCTCATTTAATTTTCTTCTTTCCCCAGACAGACCCACCTGTCAGGGCAGCATGCTTTGAGGAACAGAAGCTCCTTGGAGCTACCCTGAGAACATTCTAACACGCCTGGCAAAACGTTCCCATTGGGCCCACAGCTCAAAGCAACCGCAAAGATGAAAAAAAACATGATTTTTCAAATCTATACAAACCACCGTCTATTTCTGTACACCCCGTCCAATCCCAAAATAAAAACCGAGCTCTGCAGACAGCACTGGGCTGTCACTGCTGCTGCCGCCACCGCAGCATGCCAGCCCCTCGGAGACCTGAGGGTCAGAGAAGGCTGATGCTCAGTGGGCCAGTGGCCATCAAGGTCATTTCTCCTCCTGGAGGAGCCTGGCCTAGGTCAACCTGCAGACCGTTGGGGTGAAGCAGGAGATGACATGGTCAGCGGCCCTCTCATTAGAGCTGCAGGAGAAGCCATCAAGAAGGTCTCAATGAGCCGAAACCGGTTTGGCTCAGTGGTAGAGCGTCAATCTGCGGACTGAAAGGTCCCAGGTTCTATTCTGGTCAAGGGCATGTACCTGAGTTGCAGGCACATCCCCAGTAGCGGGTGTGCAAGAGGTAGCTGGTCGATGTTTCTCTCTCATCGACGTTTCTATCTCTCTCTATCTTTCTCTTCCTCTCTGTGAAAAATCAATAAAATATATTTTTTAAAAAGAAGGAGAAGAAGAAGAAGAAGAAGAAGAAGAAGAAGAAGAAGAAGAAGAAGAAGGAGGAGGTCTCAATGAGGCCCAGTGATGCTCCAGAATGGGGGGCAAGCCAACTGGGAGCAGGGTAGACCCAGCTCCATTCAATGGAATGTAACACTGCAGCAGCCAGATTCTGCCATCCTGGTAACCCCAGCAAACGTCTTCTGGGAGACTCTCCAACCCCGACCCTACACCACACGGTTCTCGTGGGTGGCCACCACAGCAGCCTCCTCCTGGCCGCCTGGCCAGGTTTGGTCAGTCACAGTACTCCATTGCTCTGGCCACCGACGCGGGCTCCAGAATGAGCAAACCACCCTGCCCTGAGCCTCCGGGGAAGAGCAGCTCTCTCTTCCCTCCAAGGTCACAGAGCAGGAGGAAGGTAAGTCTGGAGCAATCTGTGTCTTGGCCTCTCTTCCCCCACAACAGAGGAAATGGGTCAACAGGGGGAGAAAAGGTGCCCGGTGCCCAAAGGAAGCTGAGCCACGAGAGGGTGGGGGGGGCCTGACTTCATCTGAGCCCCTCGGACTGAATTCACTTCTGTGCAGTGGTTCTCAGCCTTCCTGATGCCTCGACCCTTTAATGCAGTTCCTCATGTTGTGGTGACCCCCAATTGTAAAATTATTTTTGTTGCTACCTCATCACTGTCATTTTGCTACTGTTAATTGTCTTTCATACTGGTGTCTAAGACCGGGGTGAACACGGACAGTCCTCTGGCCCTGCTCGGCGGCAGGGTCCTGAGTTGATTGGCCCGTTCAGAACACCTCTCGAACCCTGCCACACCGGGACGCATGGGTATCTCGTCACTTTCTTTCCGGTAGGCATCACTACCACCACCCCGCTCCCCGGTGCCCTTGACCTGAAAGGGCCTCAGTGTTCTCCCGTCTACTCGGCTACGAGTTCTACATTCTACGAAAGCCAGGGTGCCTGGCCGGGAAAACTCTGTTCTACTCCACGGGAAAGGTTTTGGGGTGACGACCTTGGGCCCTTTTCTCGTCTCTCTATCTACAGGTTGGCTAAGGGGAAAAGAAGGACGCTTCTTATTCCCTCCCCAACTTCTCGGTGACCTTTCCCTCAGGTCTTGGGAACCTCTCAATCCGAACCCCCTGGAAAAAACGGCCCTTTCTCTTCCAATCTGGCTAAGCTCATTTAAAACGGCACTTTCGATTCCAATATCCTCTGCCAAAACGCCTCATAAAACCGCATTCCAATATCCTCCGAGATCTAGATAATTTTTGCCACCGGACAAGGAAGCCTCAGAGATTCCTACGAACAGGCTTCCCTCCCCGCCACCCTCTCGCTCTCCCCCCTCGCTTTACGCCTCATGTCCCACCATCTGATCCTCCTCTGAAAGTCCTCTTTGCGCTCTCAAACCCCTTTCTCTGTCCTCTGGCTCTTTAGACCCAGCGGATCATTCCTCTCCACCTGGGTCACTCCTGCCACCTCCTTACAACCCTAACCCCATCCCTCTCTGACTAACCCCGTCCCTCTCTGACTAAACCCGTCCCTCTCTGACAAAGCATCTTTTTCCCAGGTCAGCACCAGAGTGCAGGAGGCCTTGGCGGACTCCGGGAGTATATATTTTTTTCCTTCACACACACCGGTCCCGCCCACTGGCCTGTGGCAGCAATGGCCACGGGGCCAGAAAAAGCAGCGGCTGAGTTTGCATGGCTATTTTTTTTTCCTAACACACACTGGTCCCACCCACTGACTGCCTCCTGCGAGGTGGAGGCGGTGGTTTTAGCGGCACGTGGCTGCGGAGCTTGCAGGCTCCTCCCTGCGTAGCTCCTCCGGGTCCCGCCCTTGTTGGGTGGGGCATTCCTACCTCTGAGAATTCTAACCGGGCCCGCCTTCTCCGGTGCTC